GATGTCCTGTCCTTTCGTACGTTGTGGGAGCGTCCGTCTTATTCACACTCGTGGTAAACTTACGATCGATTTGCGTTCACTTTGCGACGACGTGCGAGTGGACAAACGGTTTTATTTCCACGAAAAACAAAAAAAGAAAAGAAAAAAAATAAAAATAACAAATAAAATAAAATAAACAAATAAATAAATGATAACAAAACCGACGTGCGTGTGCACGCCAAACGGTTTTATTTCCACGACAAGTAAAAAAAGAAGAAAAAAAAATAAAAAAAATAAAAAATAGCATAAACAAATAAATAAATAATAACAAAACCGACGTGCGTATGGACAAACGGTTTTATTTCCACGACAAGTAAAAGAAAAGAAAAGAAAGAAAGAAAAAAACATAAACAATTCAATAAAAATTCCGGAAGAACTTGCGTGATTTCCTTGGCGTCTTTGCCGTAGAGACGTCGTAGAGTGGGTTGCGACCGAGGCTTAAGAAGGTTATGTTTACGGTGTTACGGGCGTCGTTAGTGTCCTTGAGAAAGAGGTGGGTTCGATGCAATTCTTTGGGTGAATATCTTTCATGCGTCAGTGACCTTATTGCCTTGGTGGAGGTACGCGCTCTCTGAGTGCCTCTAGTTATTATTGATATCATTACAATCATCTTTATTGTCATTATTATCATCATTTTTACTATTATCATTATTACTAATATTTTCATTATTATTAGTGCCATTACTATGATTACTACTACCTTAATCACGATCCTGATTTTCCTTATCATAATCAATATCATATACATATACATACATATATATGACAGACACCCACAGACTCATAGAAGAACAGCAACACAGACATGCACGCACACAACCAAAGAAAAAAAAAACACACACACAAAGGCAGACAAACCGACAAACGATCTAAAAAAACAACAACAAAAAAAAACACACACACAAAGCAAACACAAAATACAACAAACACAAACCGAAACAAAAGTAAATAAAGGAGCTTGGAAGGGACGCCGCCACACCCACCTGCGCCAGACGGACCAGAAGAGCGAAGACTTGTTCTGACGTGTCCATCGCTGTCAGAGTTTCGTCCGAACTGCGGAAAGGGAAGTCGTTATATAGTGTCTCTATAATTGCCGTTATATTTATTGCTATTGCTACAGCTGCTACTTCTGCTATGGCTCCTGCCACTCGTTTTTGTTGTCGTTATCATTATCAGTTAGTATAATAATTATAAAAGTTATAATAACAATGATTATGGCAATTATAGTATTTTTTCATTATCATTATCATCGCTATTACTTTTGTTATTATCATTATTATTATTGTGATTATCATCTTTATCATTAAAATTTTTATTACAATTATTATTGTTATTATTATCATTATTATTGCTATTATTATTATCATCATTGTTTTGATAATAATAATTATTACTACTGTTATCGTCATTATTATTTCATAAATGTTATCACCATCATTATAGTTATTATATGTTTCATTACCATTCTTATTATTACTATCTAATAATTATCATATTATTATTACCATTACTATCAATAGAATTAGTATTATCATTATCATTATTGTTACTGTCATTATTCTCATTACTGTTGTTTTGCTATTATCATCATCATGTTGTACTTGGTAGTTTCTATATAATGTCTTATGAATTATATCTTTTTCTGTATTAAATTCGAATATAGATATAAATGAAATGTTTCCTCTTAATGTAATACCTACATGTAATACCTATACTTCTTCGGCAATTACATGAAGCAAGAAGTAATAACTATATAAATGACAGAGTACTGTACGATATATCACGGCTTATGGCACCATACCATTTATAGGAACTGTGATACAATCAAACAGTGGAACATTTCCCTCGTGGCCTAAAAAATACATTGTTATTTAATCCGGACCGTCTAGGGTTACCAGCACGGGTCGGCTACATTCTGGATCCCCGAGAATTAGAGCAATCACAAAAATACAACTTCAGGTACCCGAGAATCAGAACAATCACAAAAAATACAACTGAACTGCAACAGTAATCAAAATTCAACCACATGAAGTACAACAAAAAGACAACTTCAGGGTCCCCGAGAATTATAACAATAACCAAAAATACAACTTCAGGATCCGCAAGATCTGTAACAGTAATCAAAACACAACTTGAACTACAAAAACACAACTTCAGGATCCCAGAGAATGGCAATAACAAAAAAAATACAACTTCAGGACCCGCAACAACAACCAAAAATGCAAATAAATAAATAAATAAAAAACTAGCAACAACAACAAAAGCACAACTTCCTGACCCCCACAACTACAACAACACATCCCCCCCAAGGACTCACCCAAGCGCCTTGACGGAGAGCGAGGACACCAAAGGACTCCACGAATACAAGGTCCTCAGTTTCCCAAGCAGGACCTCGAGGCGTTCCAACTCACTGCTGCTCCCTGCGACGACCTGGAAACAAGGATAAGGATAAGTCCGATATGCGAAGCTGAGCCTCGCCCGGCCTGTGCCGACTAATGTCGACTCGATCAACGTGTGTCATCGAGGTGCTGACGCGACAGAGCTTAGTCCTTACCCGCCGCGGTGCCCAGCCACAGCAGTAACCTCCGGGCGACAATTGCAACTTCTCGCGCCTGGGCGGGGCGCGAACCGCCGACCCTCGGATGAGAGGACGGCACGTTACCACTGTAATACCCTGGAGGCTAGTACAGTGGTATCAGCATACACAGGATCTAAATACGAACTTGGAATAGGGAATGGGAATAGGGGAAGGGCAAAACTTGGAATGGGGAATGGGAATGGGGGAAGGGGCGTGAGCAAGTAGGAATCGGAACAGGAACTGTGAATTGGGCATCGGAATCATTATCAACATCATTATAATAATAATTACAATTATATTCATTATCAATATTATCATTATCATTATATTATATTCTTTATTATATTTATATTATCATTACTACTCCAACTACTACTTATCATCATTCATAATTATCATTACTACTAATAATTCTAATTGATATTGTTAGTACCATTAAAAATCATTATCATTTGGAAAGTCAATACGCGTTCAGTAATTAGTGCAAGACAACAAACATAAGGTAATTGGTAACGGAAATAAACTATCAATTGCCGAGATAAAAAAATATAAAATAAAATAAAAATAAAAACGAAAACAAAACTAAAGAAAACAAAACAAAATAAAAAAACGAAAACAAAACAAAAACTAAACAAAAAACTAAAGAAAAACAAAACAAAAAACTAAAGAAAAACAAAACAAAAACGAAAAACAAAACAAAACGAAAACAAAACAAAACAAAACGAAAAAAACAACAAAAACAAAGAGGAAGAAAGCGTCGTCCATTAACGTTGGCAAAGGTCAGCACACAGCACGCTAATAAGGAGTGCTAACAAGGAGGTAATCTGCCCGCCATCAAATTCACATTTTAACCGCTTAGTGATATAAAAAGAGACATTATTCTCTTTCGAGACACGAGACAGGACCCACCCCCTCTCTTCCCATCCCCTCACCCTTCCTCACCCCTCCACCCCCACGCTTCGCCCTCCTCCTCGCCTCGTTTTGCCCCCCCCTCCTCATCCCCATTCTCTCTCATGCTTCACCCCCCCTCCCCATGCTTCGTCACCCCCTCCCCCTTTCTCATACTTTACACCCCCTCCTCATCCCTTCCTCTCCCACACTTCGTCACCCCTCCTCCCCCACCCATCGCCCTCTCACCCGATTCACCTTGTTCATGTTGTTGGTGGTATGTTGGTGCAGCGACGTGGTGATGGCGGGATGGAGCGGCACTTCTTCCAAAAGCTGCCTGCCGCCCTCGATGTCGTCTCCTCTGTGCGGTGGAGAATAGAGGGACTTAGGCCCGTGCTTTTAAAACCTTTCGCCTGTGCTCCTTCACTCAGATCACCTGAGCGAAGGAGGCCTTACTTTAAAATTACTTTAAAACGAAAGGGATCGCCAGACGCTAAACATCTTGTGGTCCTGCTAAATCTAGTGCTTCGGCGAATAAAAAAAAAAAAAAAAACGCGGGAAACGCAAATTTGTTAGATCTGCAATGCGTTATATAAACATAAAAATAAATATATATCGTTGGCACTCAGCAGTTTTTTTTTTATATCATTTTACCTTACCTTACCTTATATATATTACCTGATATTATATTACCTTACCATACCTTACCTAACATAACCTAAGCTTAATCATTTACCTCGGGAGAAGACGATAATGTTCTCTTCGTAATAGCCTCACTTTATACAAAGGAGCTAAAACTTAATCCTTTTACTAAGCCTAACCGATATAAAATAGTGAACTGTAGGGCTACAAAGGTTAGGTTAGGCTAGGTTAGACACGCCTCATTATGGAGCGGTGGAGCATGACAGCTATATTTTTATAGCCCGTAGTAAACATGCTATCATCAAAACACATATAGTACACTTGTGAAAAGAAAATTATCCCTACAACCAAAATAACAACAACTTAATTCTAAATAAGTTTTCTCGGTGTGTGTGTGTGTGGGGGGGGGATACAGCTGATGTCTTGAGCTCTCGTCTGGAACATCGATAGTCTTGAAAAAAAACTACGTATATACGTTAATTCATAATAAATTGTGATTTTCAAGATATTCTAAAATTACAATGTGATCCCTATATCATATCATACATAAATATGTTACTAATTTATCATTTGAAAAGCAAGAAAACGGTATTCCATCACGGGAAAGGGAGGCTCTTACGACTTTGCTTCGCCAGGCTGTTTCCAGTACGATCTTGCGCAGCCTGGCGAACACTTGCCATGCTTTTAATAGGACGAAATTCCCGATCGGCCGGCGAAATCGAAACGCCAGCGCTGGTGAAAGGTTTTAAAAGTATGGCCTTAGTCTGTTCATGGCGAGAGAGGTGGAGGTGGAAGGACGGATAGGAGGCGGTGGAGGAATGGATAAGAGGGGGTGGAGGGATGGATAGGAGGAGGTGGAGGGATGGATAAGAGCGGGTGGAGGATGGATAGGAGGGGGTGGAGGGATGGATAAGAGGGGGTGGAGGGATGGATAGGAGGGGGTGGAGGGATGGATAAGAGGGGGTGGAGGGATGGATAGGAGGGGGTGGAGGGATGGACGGATAAGAGGGGGGGGGGAGAAAGAGGAAGGAGAGAAGAAGGAATGCGAGAGAAAGAGAAAAATAGACAGAAACAGGCAAAGATGGATCGCCAGATAGAGACGAAGAGATAAATGAAAAATACCTGGCCATGCTTTCTCTCCTCACACTCAGGGTCTCTCAGCACAGGAGCTTTCCACTTACCGAAGAGATAATTTCCTGAAGTCCCACTTGAGTTTGGAGAGCTTCTGCTGGATCAGCGCCGCCCTCTCCTCCATGGCGGCCTTTCGCTTCTCCCCCGCCTCCTTCTGCGCCCTCTGCTCGAGGCTGAGGCCCGGCCACGCCCCCGCCCGCGCCACGCACGCCCTGGAGGCAAAGGAGTCGAGGTGTCGCCAATCGTAAAAGGATAATGATAATGGTAATGATAAAAGCAGGAACAACAACAGTAATTGATTTAAAGATAATAATAACAATGATAATGATAATATAATAATAATGATAATTATAATAATTATAATAACAATAATAATACTGACAATAACAACAATATTAATAATAACATACTAAAGACCATAATAATAATAATAATAGTAATAAAAATTATAATGATAATAATAGCAACAACAACAACAACAATAATAATAATAACAACACTAATAATAATAACAACACTAATAATAATAACAATAATAATAATAATTAAAAAAAATAATAATAATAGTAATAATAATAATAATATATAATTAAATATAATAATAATAATAATATAATAATAATAATAATAATAGCAGTAATAATGATAATAACAACAACAACAACAACAATAATAATGATAATAACAATAACAATAATAACAATAGCTATACCCTACTCGCGGTCACCACCAAAGGACCACCACAGGCACAGATCGAACCGCAGGGAGGTACTCAAGGGTAACGTCCGAGTAAGCCAATGTACAAAACTCCCACAAACGTTTCAAACACAGCCTACACTTTCCACGGAGTCAGGGCTCTCACTTTCTAGGTAATTACTTTAGTTTGGGGTAATTCAAGTACTTTTAAGGGTAACGTTTAAGGTACTGCAATTTTTTTTTTAGGTAATTCTATCGTAATTCTTTTTTTTTCTTTGTATTTTGTAGTGATAAGTATTATTGATGATCTTAGTGTAATAACTTACTGTCAGTTGGTATTTGAAAATGTGTTTTTTCAGCGTTTTGTAAAAATAAGTATTAATGATGATCTAGCGTGATAACACTTGGCAGTCTTACTGTGTTAGTATTTGAAAATGTGTTGTTTTTTTGTATTTTGTAATGATAACCATAATTGATGATCTGGTATGATAGCACTTTCGATAGTCTGTCAGTTAGTAATCGAAATGTTTTTTTTTTTTTTTTCTATTGTGTAAAGATAAGTATTATTTATGTTGAAGAAGGAAAGGGTATTAATTTTCTTAATGATTCCATTTATGCTAAAGTTTTTGATGTAGCCTATCAGGTCTATTTAAAAAAAAATCTCATACACGTATTATAGTTGATTGCTACCAAAAACTAGACCTGGTCAGTTGTGCAATCATCATTAAAAGTAATTGCGAAAAATAAAATTGCCGCTTTTGTTAAGATAAAATCATATTTCCAAAAAATCATAATAAAGTAATTTTCAGGGATGTGCTCCAACAGTTTCTAAGGTAATTTGCTGAAATCTAGGGTAAAAAATCGACAACAACTAAGGTAATGTTTATCACTGTGAAAGCCCTGCACAGAGACAAGACCTCAGTGTCACTCCGGCCGTACTTACCACGAGGCGTAGATGGGCCGGAAGCTCCTGGGGAGGGGGAAGGAGGCCCCCTGGCTCTGTACAGGAAGAGGTCTCCGCCCGACACCCACGCCGCCGCCCACGACCCGTCCTCGCTCACGCCCACCACCGCCCGACGCCCGGACGCCCCTCGCACATCCTCTAAATAGGAGTATAAGAGAAAAAAGAGAGAGAGAGAGAGAGAGAGAGAGAGAGAGAGAAGAGAGAGAGAGAGAGAGAGAGAGAGAGAGAGAGAGAGAGGAGAGAGAGAGAGAGAGAGGGAGAGAGAGAGGGAGAGGGGAGAGAGAGGAGAGAGAGAGAGAGAGAGAGAGAGAGAGAGGAGAGAGAGAGAGAGAGAGAGAGAGAGAGAGAGAGAGAGAGAGAGAGAGAGAGGGAGAGGGAGAGGGAGGGAGAGGGAGGGAGAGGGAGGGAGAGGGAGGGAGGAGAGAGAGGGAGGGAGGGAGAGAGAGAGAGAGAGAGAGAGAGAGAGAGAAAGAGAGAGAGAGAGAGAGGAGAGAGAGAGAGAGAGAGAGAGAGAGAGAGAGAGAGAGAGAGAGAGAGAGAAAGAGAAGAGAGAGAGAGAGAGAGAGAGAGAGAGGAGAGAGAGAGAGAGAGGAGAGAGAGAGAGAGAGAGAGAGAGAGAGAGAGAGAGAGAGAGAGAGAGAGAGGAAGGGAGGGAGGGAGGGAGGAAGAGAAAACGAGAAAGAGAAAAAAGAGAAAGAAATAGAGAGAGAGGATATGAATGCACAGTACAATTGTTGGAAAGTACGAACAAGCTCATTAAATATCTCGGGAAAGGAAGATGTGCTGTTTTACTTGAATTTACTGACGATGATGACATCCTGATATGAACCAGTTATCTTGTGAAATGATCCTCATCTCAAATGTACAAATCCAAATATTTGAATGAAAGTACGAGTGACTGAACGGTTCTCGAGATGTCTCCTAATTGTATTGTGATGAGGATGAGAATATCAAAACGTTGATCAGAAATCTTTAGTTGAAAAATGTTTATTTCATTCATAACTTTTACAACACCTGAATAATCTGACGATAATAAAACTGAGGACAAATATATTGTTAACAACATATAGCTGACAACAGAACATCGTCGCTGACAGAAATATATAATTGACAGCAAAAGCACAGGCGATGAAGAGCCAACGCGAAGCCGCACAGGAGGAGAACCCGCCTGGATCATCGCCGTCGCCGCCTTACCTGCACGTCACACGGGTCTCCGGGGGCAGGACAAGCGTCGGGGGAGCGGGACATCGAAGGAGCTGGACAGGGCTGCCTTCGGGCGAGTCTGACGCTGTAGGACTTCGTCTGAGACAGATGGAGGTGCACGACGTCTCCTCTGGTCGTCACGCCCACGATGGTTTCTCCGTCCGGTCTGGAAGGGAAGAAATGGTGTGAAATTAGGGAGAATAATGAGCCTTGTTATTTCTGAACCGACTGATTTACAAATACCTAGTTATACGGGAAAAAACAAAAAGCAAAAATGGTGGTGAAGACATGGTAATAGCACCTAGATTAGAAAAACAAAAACAAAACGAACCACGAATACGTAATGAAACAAAAAGGTACTACAGAACATATAGACAATACCTATAACATTCTGGAGCTCCATATTTAGACAGGGAATTTACAAGAGACAAAGAGATGATCATATAGGAATCGCAATAATACACAAAGGACACTATACACACTCACTTCAGAATCACAAGCCAAAGAAAGGCGCAAGAGGAAATAATCAAAAGACAATAACAACAGCGTAAAAAATAATCTTTAAGACGAGACCAAACACATATAAAATACTCTTAAAGTCGGCAAATGTGAAACCTACACCCTCATCTACACTCATAAAGCACGGTTGAAGTGATAATGACAATAACAAAACAATAAAAAACAAGAAGAGCAAGAAAATAATGATAATAGTGACAATACTGGAAATCATATTTATGATGATGATGATATTCTAAAAGTTATAAAGAAAATTCCAAAAATAAAGTAACAATACGCAGGCGGGATGCAAAATCACTTACAAACCACGAACCTCTATAATAGGACTTCGAAACGCGTACACATAAGGATCCAAGGAACCAGGCAATGAATAAAGAGGAAAAAAAGGAGAAAAAAAGGTTAACGACACTGATTCACGAACCACGAACCTCCGAACCGAAACACCGAATCCCGCGAACCCGAAGAGCAACCCAAACCTTCGCCACTCACGTCGGCACAGCGAGCACCACAGCGTCAGGAGCGCAGTAGGACTCCGTCACCTCCTCCAGCAGTTGCCTCTTAACGGCGGTGTCCGTCTGCCACACCTCCCGGGGGCTCGAGTGATGGTGAAGACGCCAGGACTCGGGCGAAGGGCGCGAGGTCGAGGTCAGGTCAGCGGTCACCTCGAACACAACGCCTGTGCTCGTTTCTACGTGAATCACGTCCTGGGTGGAAGTAGAGGGTAATGAGCGTAATGATTTTTCTAATAGAGGCAATTGATACTGAGAATGCAAATGGCGAGGAAAGGATGCTAGTAATTGCTATATGACGATGAAGACGATGTTGAATAGAATCACAACAACGGTTGAAATGATAATAATAGTAATAACAAAACAATAAAACAAACAAGAGCAAGAAAATAATGATAATAGTGAAATAGTGGAAATTATTTATAATGATGATGATTTAATGTTATAAAGAAAATTCCAAAAATGGGTAAATATATCATACTTATGATTAGAAAAATATCAATAATGATACAAATAAGTAGGGACGTTCATAGTAATGATATCTATATCGAAGCTACTACTACTACCATTACAGTAGTAATATAAGTCATATTAATGATTAGGAAGATATCAATAATGATACAAATAAGTAGTGATGGGGATATTAATGATATTAACAATATCAAAGCTACTAATTATCAACCAGTGAGTGATATTGATGATGGTAATAACAATACTAACAGCAATAATATTGTATAATCACAGCACCACAATCACTTACAGACTTAATCTTAATTCTTTCCGGAATGTCAAGCAGCTGGTAATACCCAACAGGCTCAAGTTTGGTTACTTTCC